AGACACCACACACATACACAGAGACACACACACTACACACATAGACAGACACATAGACACCACATACACACAGACACACACATAGACACCACACACACAGATTCACACACCACACACATGCACACATGCACGTTGAGACACACGCACAGATGATAATGAAGGAGAGGTTGTTAAATCCCAGTGATTTATCTCTCTGGTCTTTAGGTGTTTAATCCCTTTGCTGGGTAAGAGAGAAATGTCAGTGCCTGGCATACAGTAGGCGCTCAGTAAGTTGCCTGAAGGAAAGTGAGTGATTAAATTTAGACTGCACCGTCATTTCTGGCCTTGATCTCACACCCTGGGTACCATCTACCGTCAAAAATGTTTCCTCCCAAGGAATCAAATACTTAACTTCTCTCCCATGAGAATCTTTCTTTTTGAGACAAATACACCAAACACTGACGCCGCACTTGGTTGACAGATTTTTCCAAAGGATCAGGAAACTCTGCCTCAGAGTTACTCCCTGACTTGATATTACGATGACTCTTGTAGAGATAAATGCTTGAAGCTGGGAAAATAGTATATCGTCAAGTGGAAAGCATGTGTGTGTGGGCAGTGCCAGGAGCACATGGGCAGGCCCTGCTCCGTGGGGTGTGGACAGTTATCATTTTAAAGCTGCCCTGTGTCCGTACAGCTGAGAACATGTCCCAGGCTGGGGAGGACCGAAGCCCTGGGCTCTTAGCGCCGCCAGGCAGCTCCTTGGTGTCCTGCCCACTTCCTGGTGCCCACTGGAGCTTCTCTGTGGCTCCGGGTGCTTTGGCAAGAGATGCTGAGAAGAAGTCTGCATTTCATGGCCCTTCCTGGGCCTGGCTTCAGCCAGCCCTTCCTGCCCACAGCCCTGATGAGAGGGGAACCTCAGCACTCTGTTTTAGTTCCGTGTAGCTCAGAGTTCTGTCTTGCTAGGGGGCAGGCCTGCCTACCTGCCTTCTGTGGTTCTGCCCTCCTCCCACTTGAAGGTCAGGGGCCAGCCTGGGTGTCTGTCACCCTGCAGGCGGCCTGCAAATCATCAGCTAACTCGGCTTGGAGGGGACAGACATGCCTGCAGAGCTGAAACCAAACTTCTCAACCCTCGAGTGAAAACTGTAAAGCCAAGGGCACACGGATATGGACAAAGGCAACCGCAGCAAACCTGGGCAGAGCTCCAGATCCAAAATTCCTCTTTGGATAGTGAAACCAGGGCAGCGAGACAGCCCACCTCCTCCCATGGCCGCTTTCAGGCCACGGCCCGGGTCTTTCCGGCCAGTGGTCTCTGCTCGTCAGCTGCCTCCTGCCTCAGTGCGCATGATCTCCGCCCCTCTGCCCCCATCACGGAAGGGTCCTCAGCACTCCAGGGCCTGTGTTTGCACAGGGCTGAGGATCCCGAGGGATGAAGGATGTCGCTGAGGTGTTGGTTTAGGGAGGCGTGGCTGAGCAGCATGGGTCGCACCATCACCCAGCCCCTCCTCCCTCCGAGTGTTCCCAGGCAGATGTCACAGTCGGGTCTGGACAGGACAGTTCCAGAGGGAGCTGGCTGGTGAAGTAGAAGCCAGATGGCCAGCTTGGCTTCCCATGTGTGTGCGCTATTTTTCCTGATCATGGCCCAGCTGGGGTCAAGGTGCCAGACAGCTCTGTCGGCTGGTCTGCTGAGAGCTTTCTCCTTGGGCTGTTGGTGGCTGCACACTCACAGGGAGGGAGCAGAGCAACCGAGGGGCTCTTTCCTCCGTCTTCATACTTGTCTCATGCATGCGTGTGCATTTGTGTGTGCACAAGTCTGCGCTCTCATGCACGTGTCTGTGGAGGCCGGAGGTCAGCGCCGGGTGTGTTGCTCAGTCACTCTCCACGTTAGTTTTAAGACGAAGTCTCCTCCTGAGCCATGGAGCTTAGCACATGGGCTCCGCTGTCCGGCAGTACTGGGAATACAGGTGCATGCACCGGCGTGCTGGGCTTTTTAGTGGGTGCTGGGCTCCAGCTCAGGTTTTCGTGTTTGCACAAGCGATATACCCGCCCCCCCAACCAACTCCCCAGTTCCCCACCTTCCTCTCATCCTTTCACGACTGGCTCTACCCTTGTGAGCTGAGCCGAATCTGGTCACCTCTCTGTGTCATCCCCCAGGGCTCATGGCTTCGGTGTGGGATTCCGTGTGCCACAGCCTTCTGGCTTATGTCATGCTTCTCGGGGTCTCCCACGCCGCCTCTCCCTGGAGCCCCGCATCATCACGGGACCACTGGACACTGAGCCTTGGGTGCCACGCTAACTGGAGACTTTTCTTGTCACCCGCAGGAACTCGCCTGACGAATGCAGCGTGGGCAAAGGCGGGAAGATGGTAGGCAGCGCTGACGCTGTGGGGGTTAGCTACGGCAGCTACATGGAGGAGAAGCACATGGCACCCCCCAACATGACCACCAGCGAGCGCAGAGTGATTGTGCCTGCAGGTCAGAGGCTGCCAAGTCCTGCTCTGGTTAACCAATGTGTCTCCTGGCCGGGTGGGGAGTGATGGCGCCGGGGAATGGGGGTGGGAAGAAGGGAAGCGCACACCTTTAATCCCAGCGCTTGGGAGGCAGAGGCAGGCAGAGCTCTGTGAGTTCCAGGCCAGCCTGGTCTACACAGGGAGATCACGGACAGCCAGGCTACACAGAGAGACCCTGTCTTGGAAAAAGAAACCTGTGTCTCCCAGGAAAGGTGGAGTGTCTTTGTCCTTTACACATCTCTGATTCCCATCTGGAGCTGCTCTCTGCTCCGTCACAAGTCACTCAGCCCTCACCTGTCTCTTTCCTCATCCTTCCATTCGCTCCATCGGGTGTCTGTCACTACACAGCAGGGACCATCTCCGGGGCCATACACACCCTCTGAGCTAAAGGGTGTGTAGCTGCTGGGCATGCCCCTGTCAGGTGTGTCACTGTGAGACTCTCAGCAGACCAGCTAGATGGCCGATGATGTCAGGGCACCAGCATTCTTGAGGGCTCTGCCTTGCTTTGACACACATAGTAAAACTTTCAGAGGACACAACGGTGCCTTATGAAAGGGCCAGAACTGCTCTAGACATTGGTGGAAGGCGGGTGGCATACGCTCAGACAGTCTGCTTGGTTTTACAGCCTCTGTGTTGTATGCTCTGAGGCCATGTTGCTGACATGGTGCCTTAGCATGGGGCACTGGATGGAGGTGAAAATGTCCAGGTTCTGTTCCTATGAGGGATGGCCGCACCAGATACTGGCTGTGCCTGGAGAGAAGGACAGGTGCCATGCTGGGCATGAGAAGGAGGAAGTAGAAGCCCAAAGTGAGCTGAGCCCAGCCCACCTGCCCCTTTGCCTTCCTCCTGAAAAGCTTCATTCTGTCACCTGAGGCAAACACGCTTTTAGCCCTGTGAGAGAGGGCCAAGCTGGGAGAGCCACTTGAAACACCTATCTTGTCCTTAAGGAGCCGTGCAGCTGCCTTGGGCCAGCTTGTGTTTCTGGACTATCACCAGGAGTCTTTGCACAGGGGACTCTGACCAGTCAGGTCAGTGTGTCAGCAGCCTTTTCACAGGCACTCATCAGTGTGACCAGACAGGCCAAAGGATGCGTGTGCGGACTTACGCGCGCTGGCGCTGGCTGTTTCTTCATCCTGAGGGAAGCTGCCTTTCAGCTGTTCCCTCCGTGGGTTGCTTCACGGCAGTAGAGGCAGTTACTCGGTTAACGGTGTTGGTAAGAAGCGAGCTGTGCATGGTTTTGCAAGTTGGGGGTTGTTCAGTTATTGGTCAGGGTCCAGGTATGTGTTCACGTGTCCACAGATGAACACACAGGCACACACACACACTTACACAACTTGAATGGCCATGCAGCACAGCCACGGATGGCAGGCCCGACAGTTAGCTGCTGCTGTATAGGGCCTTCAGCAGCAACACAGGTTACCCAGCTGCTCACCCGGGCAGGGGTGGCTGCTCCACATTCACTGCAGTCTCCAGACCGGACTCTGACTGGCTCCAGGAACTCCTGCTGCTTAGATGTCAGGCCTTGTACCCACCAAAGAAAACAAGCCTTAGATGCTCTCGCATGTCACTCCTTCTGTCTGAGAGAGAGACAGACAGACAGAGAGAGAGACAGAGAAGGAAAGAGAGACACAGGGAGAGAGAAGGAGAAACAGATGCTGAGAGAGACAGACAGAAAGAGTCAGAGAGACAGATAGGGAAAGGCAGAGAGAGAGAGATCCAGAGAGGAGGAGACAGAGGGATAGATATGGAGTCAGAATGGAAGACTTGGCAGCCCTGCCAGATAGAACCTTTGGGCTTAAAGTTCACTTTGAAAGTTATTCCATTAACTTTGACTTTGAGACCTGTTATCCTCAGGTAACACAAGAGCTGAGAAGCCCAGAAAGTACTCTGAGGAGGAATCACAGGCATGTTCTTGTGGATGTGTGTCCTGTACTCTAAAGTATTTACTTCTTGTGACAAAACGCTTCTTGTGACAAAATGAACTTAATAAACACTGTATGTACAGACACACACAAACACAGGACAGCCTCAACTTTAGAGAAGAGGGATATGGTGTGTGCGCAGAAGTATGTAATGGGGGAGGCCAGCATGTGGCGTGCCTCGCATGTTTGTCAACACAAGTGTGTGCATTTCTCTCTGTGAGGCTGTACACCAGTCCGTTCACTACACACCGAGATACTGTTAGAGACAAATCCACTCACTACATTCAGTTAGTGAGCGCGCCAGCTCAGCCTGGGACACTGCAGTGCCAGACTCATCAAAGCAAGGCCTCTTTATAATAAGGCGCTGAACAGCCCAGGTAACGTGTTGGCGGAAACCCAGAATAACTGTGGCTGTAGTCTGGAGAAGATCATCCCTCAGCCTCCTTTGGCTTCAGACGGTACCGAGCTCAAATCTGGAGCTTTGTATCCTGTTCTGGAGTTTAACGACAGCCCAAGACAAGTAGGTTTAACTCAGAGGTCTGATTTCCACGTCTCCTAAGCCGTGGCCATAGATAAGTGTGTGGAGGCAGCGGATCGCGCCACGCGTGGAGCTGATGCTCTCGGCGGGCTAAGTCTCTGGAGCATCAGCCGTCAAGGTCTGCGTCCTCTGTGTGCTGGGGTGCCTCTCATCCCTGGAAGCGTGTGGAGCTAAGGTTGCTCTCACAGTCTTCCTTGACAGTCTTAAGACTTGCAAAATGCTGACCAAGCGCAGCAGGACCTCTGGTTTTAGCAGTTTGTATCTGTTTTTGAAAGATTTTTATTTTTGTTTATTCTCCAAAATGGTCACTAAAATATAGAGCTTTTAGAAGAACTCTATTTTCCCTACATTGTAGTTTAAAAAAAAAAAAAAAAAAAAAAAAACTCCAAGCCTTCGGTGCCAGTATCTTGGAGACTGAGTGGTAATGCCCATGTCTTCCCTTGTGCACTTCCTGAGCTTTTTCTGGGGTCCATCACCAAGGACCATTAGACTGAGTTCTTTCTTCTCAGCCTCCCAACACTTGGGTGGAAAGCCCTTGACTTCTGTCTCAGCTGGCCCTTCCACGCTGCAGCACCCAGGAAGTGTTGGCCGAGCATCCATTACTCAGATAGCAGGCTTGGAGGAGATGGCCAAGGAGTGCGAGGTCGAAGACACACGCCTGTGTGCCGTGGATGGCCAACAGGAGAATGGATAACAGTTCAGAGCAGCGGCTGATGAATGCTCTGGAATTTCTGAGCAAAGGGAGCCAACTTAAAAAAGAGCGAGTCATGAAAGTTTCCTTTGCAGCTATCACGATTCCTTTCCGGCCTCCACTGTTCCCCTAGACTCCTCCATTTCCTCAGCCCTGACCATTATCCTCAGCCCTGTCATTTTCCTTAGCTTCCTCCATTTTTCTCAGCCTCTGCCCTCCTCAGCCATAGCCCGGCTCCATGCATGCTGTACAGCCCCTGCACTTCAGCTCCTGTGCCTGTGCCCGTGTCTGTGCCCATGTCTGTGTCTGTGCCCATGTCTGTGTCTGTGTCTGTGCCTGTGTCTGCCTGTGCCTGTGCCCGTGTCTGTGTCCGTGCCTGTGTCTGTGTCTGTGCCCGTGCCTGTGTCCATGTCTGTGTCTGTGCCCGTGTCTGTGTCTGTGTCTGTGCCCGTGCCCGTGCCTGTGCCCATGCCCGTGCCTGTGCCTGTACCTGTGCCCGTGTCTGTGTATGTGCCCGTGTCTGTGTCTGTGCCCGTGCCCGTGTCTGTGTATGTGC